ACCACAGCACTCTACTGAGGGCAACACAATGGGACTCTGTCTCAAAAAACTAAAATGAAATAAATAAATAAAATTATCAAACGATTATTAAATGCATCATTTTTATTCACTACTATAAAACAAAAAACCATTCTGCCAATTAAGTCACAATGAGCCATAGATTTGGGGACACATCATGATTTACATGTTAAAATAAAATATGCATTCTGGAATTGATAAAATATGTGTCCTGGAGTTGATAAATGTGGCACACTATATGTGTGCCATTTTCCTTCCATTCTAAAATAAACTTCTTCCCTGTGTTTTAATAGCCGGAATTTAGAAACATGTCTTACAATCAAGGTATACATTTAATGTAGTGTTTCTCCCAGGACTCCCCCCACCCTCCCACAACTCGTCAGGATCAAGAAAATATTTTATATGCATTATATGTGCATGAGATAACAGAGGATATACTCCAGTATTTTAATAGTTTTTTCTGGTAAGGCTGCAAAGAATTATTATTTTCTCCCTTTGTTTTCCTTTAATTTATAAATTTCCCAAAATGAGCTTTAAAAATCTGAACAATACCAACAACAACTAGACAGCATTATAAATTCCCAGCCAAAAAAAAAAAAAAACTAGATTAGCTACATTTTATGCAAAGGCAAACAGGATCACATGGGCTAAGGTATGGTGGAGCTCCCACTCTGTGTCCTCCCAGGAACAAAGAACCCTCAGAGAGGAGAGCTAAAGGGGCAGAAGCAACGTTTACCAGCTCATGCGCCACCCTAATATCTCATCTGCAAACTACTGTATCCAAGAAAAACAACTCCTTGGCAAGCAGACCTCGCCCTAGTACTTCACTTTCACTCCTTTCCAGCACTCAATCAAAACACCTAGTAGGGTGGAAAATAGACTTTGAGTGCCTGTTCTGGTTGGTCAGTAGCAGTGAGTAGCAGGCCCCTGAAGCACCCTGCTGGGAAGGAGTCCGAGGCCAGTGGGGAGTTGGGGAGGAAGATGTGCCTGACTGATTAGTTATGCCCGCCAGGGATCCTGGTAACCCTGAGCTCCACACTGGCTAGGTCTGAAAGACTTCCCAGCTTTATTCTTGCTCTCTTACCTTTAAGCAGACCACTTGTTTTCTTTTCTTTTTTTTTTCTTTTTTGTCACCCTCAGTAGACAGCCCTGGTGTCACAGCTCACAACAACCTCCAACTCTTAGACTTAATGCCTCAGCCTCCTGAGTAGCTGGGACTACAGGCACCCGCCACAATACCCGGCTATTTTTTGTTGCAATTCCTATTGCTGTTATAGCTGGTTGGGGCCGGGTTTGAACCTGCCACCGTAGGTATATGGGGCCAGCGCCCTACCCGCTGAACCATGGGCCCCGCCCAACCGCTTGTTAGATCCTAACCAGACTAAGGACTATATTTGAAGGGCCTGGTTGCTGTTAATGCTAAAGCTGGGCCTATTCCAGCAAAGACACCATTCAAACTTGCAAACCAGCATTTCACAGTGTAGCATTATATTTTAAAACTGAATGCACATACATTACTGACCCAGTAATTCCCTTCCTAGAAACCTGCTCTTCCAGAGAAGAGGAACCAACAAAAATGTCCATAGCAGTCATTTACAGGAGAATCTGCTTTATATTATTTATATATGTTAGAATATATAATGCACATGTTAGAATATATATATAATAGTAGTTAGAATAATATGTTACATATATTGTTTGAAACAACTAATTTTTACTTAATGCAGTACTGAACTCAAAATAAAAGGGATCCTCAAACTTTTTAAACAGGGGGCTAGTTCACTGTCCCTCAGACCTTTGGAGGGCGGGACTGAGGGCCCCAAGTCTAGTCAGCTGCTAAGCAGGACAGGCAACGGTTACAAGAACACCAGGCGGGCCAGATAAATGTCCTCTGCTGGGCACATGTGGCCCGCAAGCCATAGATGTGCTGCTTTTGGCTGGGCATCTGTAGCTAAAGTGGCTAAAGGGCCAGCCACATACACCAGAGCTGGCAGGTTCCAAACCAGCCCAGGCCAGCCAAACAACAATGACAGGTACAACCAAAAAATGGCCAGGTATTATGGCAAGCGCCTGTAGTCCCAGCTACTTGGGAGGCTGAGGCAAGAGAGTCACTTGAGCCCAGGAGTTGGAGTTTGCTGTGAGCTGTGATGCCATAACACTCTACACAGGGCAACAGCTTGAGGCTCTGTCTCACAAAAAAACAAAAAAGAATGTGCTGCTTTTGTAGAGTGTCTTTTGTGGGTAACTCCGTTTTACCTCCCAGTCAAGTTTCTTATCTTTGTGACTTATCTTTGTGACTGAGCCTCACCAGAAGCTTCACATGGGTCAGCTGTCTGGGCTGTCTCAGGTATAACCAGGGAAAGACAGACCAGCCCTCTCATCTATACAGTGACGAGTTTGGGTAACACACTTGGGAAAACTATGTCTTTTAGATTTTTTTTTTAGTCCTTTTAAAGATCGTTTATCCCAAACATATCAGTTTTTATATTACTATAATAATATAATATATTATGTAGCATTTTATCTGCAACATGCACTAAGGTTATTTTCATTATTACTTCAAATGAATGACAAAAGATTTATAACAACAAAGACATAGAAACAACCTAAATGTCCAGTAATCAGCAAGTAATGGAAGAATGTTCAACCTTCAAATACTATGTCTCTGAAGATGGCATAATAGCAAATAAGGTATCTGAATTATTAAATGAAAAAGCATAATAATTTGAACAATAAGATCCCATCTGTGTATAACAAACAAATGAAACCTACGTTTTAGAACAAGCTGGAAGGAAATACCCAACCAACATGTTAAAAGTAGTTATCTTTGTGTGATATCTTTATTTTTCTTTCTAAATTTTCTAAGATAAAAACTTTTATAATGAAAGGAAAGTCCATTCATCTCCAAACATTCTTGAAAGGGAAACTGAAACCCTAGTATTTTTGGAGGCCAAGGCAGGAGGATCTCTTAAACCCAAGGGTTCAAGACCAGCCTGGGAAATAGAGAGACCTCATCTCTACAGAAAATTAGCTGTGCAGGATGGTGCATGCTGGTAGTCCCTATTACTAGAGAGGCTGAGACAGGAGGATCACTTGAGCCCAAGGGTTCAAGGGTGCAGTGAGCTATGATCATGCCCCTGTACTCTGTCTACTCGAGGTGAGATTCTGACTCAAAGAAAAAAAAAATTCTCCTATGCTTCAGATGGAAGAGAAAAGGGGAGAAGAGAAAAAAGAAAAAGAAATGGTAACTGGCTAGACATGCTTTGGGGACTTGGAGGCACCAAATGGAGGTGTTCGTCACAAGGCCAAGTGGCAGCCCCAAGATTAATGCTCACAGTTCCTGTGTTGCTGTATCGTGTTTTAACTGAATCCAGCTGACTCCCTAGCTATACTCACCCCTTCCCTGACACACACACAAGTAAATTAATGAGATTAAAAAAAGCTCTCTCTGAAGAGCTATCAGTGTTACCTGGGCCCCAATATTCCTTGAGTGCTGGTGAGGCACATACCCCAGTTCCCATCCTTATCCCCGAAGGTCTCAGTCAGCAGGAAGAAAAGAGAATGTGATTTCTAATCGAGTTGTCTCTAAAAAGCATTGGCTGTTCCCAGGACGGTTAGTACAGTGAGCCAGTCACAAAGACTAGATTATCAGAGGCCATCTTGATTCAGACCACATAAATGTCAGACAGGTCACCCCAACTTCGATCTCAGAAACATTGTCATTTTAACATAATCACCGTGTAGGTTTGTTTAAGATAAAGAGTAAATAAAGATTTAGTATTAATTTAAAAGTTTGGTTATTCAGTGTAGACATGGTTGTGGAGAAAATGGAAATATAAACTTAATAGATAAATTCCCAATCAGTTAGCCATTAAAAAATAAATAAACAAATTTAACAAAGCCTCTTTGGAGAGCCTATTAAATCTGAAAACAGCACTCCCTACAGTACAGCAGTCTCACTGGTGCAATCTAATCATATGCCCTACGTGTGTACAAGTGGACAGGGCTAAGAATTTTAATTGTTTTTATGAAAACTTGGAAACCCTAAATGTCTCTCCATAGGGAAATGGGGAAGTAAAATGTCATATATTTCTAGGGAAGAATATTTACAGTAATTAACACTGGTGATCCTTATAGCAAAGATATCTACATGGATAGCTCTATGTGTAGTTGAAAGAAACAGATCTTTGGAGATTTAAAAGAAGTATCTATAGACTCCTTTAAAGGTAGACATCAAAAACATGTTTAAAGAAGAGACCAGAATGATATCCGAAGTACAATACCACTTCTGTTAAAAAAAAAAAAAGGTACCGTAGACAAATGGAACCTATCCATTTTGATAAATGCAAATATATGTACAAGGATATTTTAGAAGGAAAAACATGGAAATAATAACATAAGTTACCTCTGAGGAAAGGCAGAGAGGACTAGGATTAGGTGATATTCTGATTTTTCTAAATGGATTCTTGCAGTACCTATGTAGTTATAATGAATTGTTTTAAGTCCCAGCAATTCCTTTACCTGTTAATGTATTTATTATATCCAATGAAACTAAAAACAGAGTTTTCTGTAAGAAAATGTTTTCCACAGCACCACACCCACCTTTCTACCCCCAGCACACCCTCACACTCTCATTTTTTTTTCTTCATTTCACAGCATTTGGAAATGCATTTCTAACCCTTTTAGCCAAGTTCACCTGCGTCAGGAGAAGGTGCCCCAAAGCTTTTGCTCACCTTTACCGTCCTTCTAGGAACCACAGCAAACCACACTGGCAATGACCCCTTGCAGGAAATGTTATGCCAGAAAACAGGAGTCAGAAGTGCAGTTTTGTTCAGAAGGATCACGTGAGTGTTGTTATCCCTTTCCCTGTATGTTAAGTTTGGCACCAGCCAAATCTACAGGAGAAAAGGCGGCAAGTCCCCGCATTTCATACCTGTCAAAAACTACTGCGGAATAAGCCCGCTCCGCAAAGATGACGTCTGCAGCCCAGAACTCTTTGGTGGCCTTCAGGCCCCTGCCTTTGCCCTCAGAAGTGAAGACCTCCACGTTCTCCATTCTCTCTATTGTCATCTCAGAGGCCGTCAGACCTGCATGCCAGATATTTAACAGTGAGCCAAGCCTCTTGTCGCCGCTGCTATTTCAGCACCTTCAGCATCCCAAAGAGCAAGACCATAAATGGACAAGCCACCTCCCCCTCTTCACCCCTTCTCTGCCACTGGGCCCTCACCTCCCCCTCGGCCACTTTTCCTGGAAGTGGGGATGGGGCAGGCAAGAAGACAGTGACCTGGGCAAGGTCACACGCATCACCCAGCAAAGCCCACTGAGCGGAAAACGACTATTTCCTAGGCTAGTGTGGTTCTGGGATTGGGCCTGAGACATTTTGAAAAGTTCCTCTGTGAGAAGGAACTATCTGCATATGCTGAGTTCTGGACTGCAGCCACGTTCAGCATTAGATGAAATCGGGAGCACTTGGTCAGTAGGGTATTTTTAGCAGCCAAATGCCTCTGTCAATCAAAAACAGACAGCTGGAATGGTCCAAGAAAAGAGGCAAGGTGAAACTCGCTGCTCTGGGACCCTTCGGCTGTCAGGCTTGCACCCTCTCAAGTGAGATGAGCCCCTCGTCCCACATTTCTCAGTCTTTCTGCCAAGGGCGGACTGTTTGCAGGAAGCAGCAGAAGCTAAACTGAGTACTTGGCACAAGCATGACAGTACTATTGAGTCTCGAAAGAGCGTCTCTCCTCTGTAGTATCTCCTGGGGCTCTCACAGCACCCCTACGCCAAGGCATGCAGCTCCCTGTTCTTAGCATCTCTGATGATACTGCTGGATACAAGATGAATACAGAGACGTCAGGCTTTAAAAATAAAAATGCCGGGCTGGGTGTGGTGGCTCACGCCTGTAACCCTAGCACTCTGGGAGGCTGAGGCAGGAAGATCACTTAATCGCTTGAACCCAGGAGTCTGAGGTTGCTATGAGCTAGGCTAATGTCACAACACTCTAGCCTGGGGTAACAGAGTAAGTCTCTGCCCCCCAAATAAGTAAGTAAATAAATAATATAAAACGCCTCATCTCTATCTTTCTATCAAATTTCCTTTAAACATGTGTCCACGTCCACACACACACACAAAAAAAAAAAAAAAAAAAAAGCAATGTGCTCAGTCCCTCTTCTTACCCAGGAGTAAGGACATTGGAGGGACAATTCCATCATCCCCATTGAATTAAATGCTACTTCTCTTCTTGGCTACCAGGCAGCTCTCACCTAGAATGAAAAGACACCCGCAGATCTAGCACTCTGATTTATTTTTTCATGGAATATTTTTAGTTTCTGAGATGTATCTATTTAGGAGGACTTCATAGCCTAGATCTTTGTAAGTGTAGTAGTTCCCAAGTACAGTAGAGTTTCTGAATCAGAAAAATCTGAATTCTTTTTTTTCTTCAGCAAATTTAGGGGTTCAAGTTGTTTTTGTTACATGGAGAAATTGTATCCTGCTAAAGTACGGACTTTCAGTGTACCCGTCACAAGAATAGTGTACAATTCAGGCATCCTCAAACTACAGCCCACAGGCCACATGCAGCCCACCTAGGACATTTATTTGGCCTGCCAGGTGCTTTTGCTGCCACTGCCTGTCCTGCTTAGCAGCCAACTTGTCCTGGGGCCCACAGTCTGGCCCTCCAACAGTCTGAGGGACAGTGAACTGGCCCCCTGTTTAAAAAGTTTGAGGACCCCTGGACTGTACATTGTACCCTATAGGTAGACTTTTATCCCTCACCTTCCTCCCAGCCTTCCCCTTCTTAGTTCCCAGTGTCCATTACAGCTCTTTATAACTATCTACATCCCTCATTTAGCTCCCACTTATAAGTGAACATGTGGTATCTTTGCTCTATTCCTGAGATACTTCACTTAGGATAATGGTCTTCTGTTCCATCTAATTTGCTGCAAAAAGTATTTCATTCTTTTTTATAGTTGAATAGTATTCTCTGTATGTGTGTGTATATACATACACACACACACATATATATATATACACAAGCATACACATACATATACATACTACATTGTCATGGTTTTTATTTTTTTGACACAGAGTCTCACTATGTCAGCCTTGGCAGAGTGCTGTGGCGTCATAGCTCATAGCAACCTTAAACTCTTGAGGTCTTTTCCTGCCTCAGCCTCCCAAGCAGCCAGGATCATGGGTGCCTGCCCCAATGCCAGGCTATTTTTGTTGTTGTTGCAGTTGTAATTATTGTTTAGCTGGCCAGGGCTGGGCTCAAACCCGTGGCCTCTGTGCATGTGGTTGGCACCATAACCACTGTGCTACAAGTGTGGAGTCATACTACATTTTTTTAATCTACTCATCAGTTGATGGCACTTAGGTTGATTCCCTATCTTTGCAATTATGAATTTTTTTTTTTTTTTGAGACAGAGCCTCAAGCTGTCCCCCTGAGTAGAGTGCTGTGGCATCACAGCTCACAGCAACCTCCAACTCCTGGGCTCAAGCAATTCTTCTGCCTCCGCCTCCCAAGTAGCTGGGATTACAGGCACCCACCACAACGCCCGGTTATTTTTTGGTTGTAGCCATCATTGTTGTTTGGCGGGCCTGGGCTGGATTTGAACCCGCCAGCTCAGGTATATGTGGCTAGCACCTTAGCCATTTGAGCCATGGGCACTGAGACTGCAATTGTGAATTTTGCTGTGATAAACATTTGGATGCAGGTGTCTTTTTGATATAATGACTTCTTTTCCTTTGAGTAGAATACTCAGTAGTGGGATTGCTGGGTCGAATGGTAGGTCTATTTTTAGTTCTTCAAGGAATCTCCATACTGCTTTTTACAGCAGTTGTGCTAGTTTACATTCCCACCAACAGTATGTAAGTGCCCCCTTTTCACTGTATCCACACTATATCTATTGGGTTGGGGGGGGTGAGACAAGTCTCACTTTGTCACCCTCAGTAGAGTACAGTGACATCATAGCTCACAGCAACCTCAAACTCTTGGGCTCAAGCTATTCTCTTGCCTCAGCCTCCTGAGTAGCTGGGACTACAGGTGCCCACCACAATGCTGACTATTATTTGTTGCAGTTTGGCCAGGGCTGGGTTCAAACCCACCACCCTCAGTATATGGGGCTGGCGCCCTACTCACTGAGCCACAGGCGCCACCTGATCTTTCACCTTTTTGACTAAGTATATTCCTAGGTATTGTTTTGAAGACATTTTTTTTTTTTTTTGAGATAGGACTAAAGTGCAATGGCTTCATCATAGCTCACTGCAATCTCCAACTCCTAGGCTCAAGCAATCCTACTGCCTCAGACTCTCAAATAGCTGAAACTATAGCTACGTGCTACCCTGCCTGGCTAATTTCTCTATTTTTTATACAGATGGGGTCTCGCTCTTGATCAGGCTGGTCTCAAACTCCTAGTCTCAAGTGATTCTCTCACCTCAGCCTTCTTTGCAGGCGATTATAAATGGTATTGAGTTATTTATCTGACTTTCAGCTTGACTGTTATTAGTATAGACAAATGTTACTGGTTTGTGTACATTGATTTTGTAAGCTGAGACTTTATTGAATTTATTTATCAATTCTAGGAGTCTTTTGGTGGAATCTTTAGGGCTTTATAGGAATAAGATAAAATCATTCGCAAACAAGGGTAGTTTCACCTCCTCTTTCCTGATTTTCTTTCTTTTCCTTGATTGCTCTGGCTAGGACTTCAACTACTATGTTGAATAGAAGTAGTGACAGTGAGCATTTTTGTCTTGTTCAGGTTCTTAAGGGGAATGCTTTCAACTTTTCCCCTTTCAGGATGATATTGGTTATAGGTTTGTCATACACGGCTTTTATTATTTTGAGGTATCTTCCTTCAATGCCTAGTTTGTTAAGGGTTTTTATCATGAAAGGAGCTGGATTTTATCAAATACTTTTCTGCATCTATTGAGCTGATCATATAGTCTTTGTTTTTAATTCTGTTTGTGGTGAATCACATTTATTGATTTGCATGAATTGAACCATCCTTGAAACCCACGGGATCACTTTAAATTATCTTTTTGATGTGCTGTTGAATTTGATTTGCCAGTATTTCATTAAATTATCTTTTTGATGTGCTGTTGAATTTGATTTGCCAGTATTTCATTGACGATTTTTACCTACGTGTTCTTAAGAAATGTTGATCTGTAGTTTTTAATTGTTGTTATGAGTTTAAATTCTGAGCCTGCCACTACCACCTTGAGATGGAACCTGAAAAACAAGGACAATAACTTCTACCTTACTGGATTGTTGTGAGAGTTAAATGAGATAATATGTACAAAGGACATAGCACAGCACTTGGCATTTCATAAAGGACTCAGTAGATGATAGTTCTTTTACTTGATGTGTTCTGCCACGTTATTCTCCCTAAACTAACAAAATACAGCAACAATTATAATGTATCTTCAACCAAATTGCATCTTCCAAAACTCCTCTGACTCTGAAAAGGACATCAAAAACCTGTTGTCAGACCATATACCCCAATTTTTAGGTCAGAACACATAGTCAAGAGAATATCTCAATGATTTCTGACACATCCCAGAGAACAAAATACCTTGAGACATTAAAAGTTAGGAGTCACTGGCTTGGCACCTGTAGCTCAAGTGGCTAAGTTGCCAGCCACATACACCAGAGCTGTGGGTTTGAATCCAGCCTGGGCCTACCAAACAACAATGGCAGCTACAACCAAAAACTAGCCAGGCATTGTGGCGCCTGTACTCCTAGCTACTTGGGAGGCCAAGGCAAGAGAATCACTTATGCCCAGGAGCTGGAGGTTGCTGTGAGCTGTGATGCCAAAGCACTCTACCCAGGGGGGACAGCTTGAGGCTCTTTCTCAAAAAATAAAAATAAAAATAAATAGAGTTAGGAGTCACAAAAAGCACACATCACATATTCCCAAGAAAAAAATTATATTAGAAAGTTTTTCTCTCTAGTTATCTAGTGGTCAAGAAAAAATAAAAATAAATAAAGAGGAGTTTTTTGTTTTTTTGGTTTTTTTAAAGCCAAAAAAAGTTTCACTTTGTCAGCCTTGGTAGAGTCCCCGGGCAGAACACAGCTCACAGCAACCTCCAACTCCTGGCCTTAGGCGATTCTCTTGCCTC